CATTAGGGTAGGCTGTCTATATTCATCCCCGTGGGTGCGCCCCTTCCCGGACTCTGCGTGAATGGGGATGCTTTGTGCATCGGGTTATTAAGAAATGTTGCTTCAAGAATGAGGAAAGGCTAGGCCTTATAAGTCTAATTAGTTGAAGTTACAGGGCTGGAGGGAATCCTTTGAGTGGATTCTGCGTTAGCCCCATGATGTCGGTCTCTAACTAGAAAAGTAAATTCCTGAGCTTTGGTGAGAATGGCCTCCTTGCTTATTGACTCGAACCACTGACCTTTAAGTGAACCTATGGGACAAAAGGAATGGCACCCCTTGCCCTTGGTTATATGATATTTTTGTATTATTCCTCTTTATTTAGGTCCATTTCATTCTACTACTAGATAAGCTGCATCACCGAAGCTTGTAATTTCTGCTAGCAGTACCATTGTACAATTGAAAAAAATCACTCCTGAAAATCCTCATTACAGAAATTCTGTCTTTAGGTAGTACATCTTTTGCTGATGTCGTCTAGTTTGGGATTGAAGCAGTGTTACTTCTGTCATTGGTTTCATTTGTCGTTAAGACATTACTCTTTTAAAGTGTGCGTATTTCTCTACTGGTAGGAAATGTAACTATGTAAACATTTAACTCAAACAAATGCCCAATATATTTCACAAATGAAGAGTACTCATGGATGAAATTTAAATACTCACAGTTCAGAGGCAGAAAAAAGAAATTCCTTCCATCTACTTTGCTGATGTGATCCTGTGAAATATTGGAGAAGGGTGGTCCTTACCCTTCATTTGGCTGTTCGGCTCCATTACCATCTCTAACTCCCCAATCCCCAAAAACCAGGGGGCTCAAGTGCCCGTGGATGCTACTATTGTTTTTGTAAAATCAGTCTGTCCCTTTGTCCTAAATATTTTAGATTTGGCCTTTAGAAAAGAAAGCTTTATGTTGGTTTGATGGATTTTAGTCTTAACGCAGCAGCATCAGCTGAAGGAAATGGTGTTGTAACAGCGGAAACAATTCAAAGGGCCTTTCTTGAGACAGAGAGAGGGTTTACTTCTCTTGTTTCAGAAAATTGGAATTCTCGACCACAGATGGCGACAGTGGGGTCATGCTGCCTGGTTGGAGCTATATATCAGCAGACACTTTTTGTAGCAAATCTTGGTGACTCTCGTGTAGTCCTTGGAAAGAAGGTTGGAAACACTGGGGAAATTGCTGCTATACAGCTCTCAACGGAGCATAATGCCAACATTGAGTCTATTAGGTGGGAGCTAAAAGACTTGCATCCAAATGATCCACAAATCGTTGTTCTTAGACATGGTGTTTGGAGGGTAAAAGGAATAATTCAGGTAAAATCAACTATAAGAAGAAATCTTTTATAAAATTATGAAAAAAACCTTCCAAGTTCTCCCCGTACTCCCCATATTCCTATATTTGGTCCGTGCATAGGTTATGCATAGAAACTTTGACGTGTATCTGCAGCTTTAATTATTTTCGTACGGCAGAGTTTCCGCCAAGTTATATCTGAAACAAAAGACTTTGGTAAGAATGATGTTATTTGCTAGGGCCTATGGCCACTTACAGTATATAATTTTAAATTGAGCTTACCTCAACTTTTTGCTGGAGAACTACCATACTTCGGATGCCCATATGGTGTAATAATGAACTAAACTAAACGGAATTTTGTGTAGAAAAGTAGATTTTAACTTTCAAGATGACTTCATACTTTATAGAAAAATTGATATGCCTCTCAAAATATCTACTGTTTCATGGATTTTATATTTTCATCAATAGGATAAAGAGGTTATTGTTAGCTGAGAACACTATTAGTCTATGGTTGGTCTGTTTGTACCTGCATGTCATGCTTTCAAATTGAAGTTCTTCTACAATTATTGCTTTTCATGGATACTAGAATTCATTCTCGTAACTTACGTCAAACTCGGTCTCCTTAACTGACTGCAGGTCTCAAGATCCATTGGTGATGTTTACCTTAAACACGCCAAGTATTGCAGGGAACCAATAAACGGAAAATTCAGAGTTTCTGAACCCATTAACATGCCTGTCCTGTTGGCTACTCCATCAATTTTAACACATCCTCTACACCCAAATGACTCCTTCCTCATATTTGCTTCTGATGGTCTATGGGAGCACTTGAGCAATGAGAAGGCCGTTCAAATTGTTCAGAGTCATCCTCGTAAAGTAAGTTCTATGCACCATAATATTACACTTTTCCTGCATATTGAGTCCACATTTTAGGTTTCATACACTTCTCTCATGGGCAGGCTATGACTTCAAAATACATGTTTACATTTGATGATATACATAATTGGTTTTTTCTTTTTTGATAATTCAAGAACCATATCTTCAGGTTTTACTCGTCTTCTAGGTTGTCAAGCCCTCTGGCATTTCCAATTAGAATTTCAGCAACTTGTAGATGACTTGCCTAATCTCTTTCCATTATTTCTACCCTGAATATTCTCCTTATTTCTTCTGTCATAATTTATTGAAAAGTCTATCTCTTTAACACTTGCATGTCATTTATCTTTTGGTTGTTTTGCTTGTGTTACTATTATGGTTTCTAATGGAGTGACTAATGAATTGTCTTCTTCTCTTTTCATTTTTTTTTTCTCTGAGCCGAGGGTCTTTCGGAAACAGCCTCTCTGCCCATTGGGGTAGGGGTAAGGTCTGCGTACATATTACCCTCCCCAGACCCCACTCTGTGGGATTTTACTGGGTAGTTGTTGTTGTTGTTGTTCTATCTCTTTAACACAAAAGAATTCTTTCCTTTATATTCAGAGGTGAGAGATACAGTCTTGTTCCCCTTCCGAGTTCTATTCTTCTTTTGATCTCTTTCAATTCTTGTAAGTAGGGACCATGCCTCTTCGTGATCTTTGTTAAATGAAATGCCCAGACCTTCTAGATTGATATGCGTCTGCTGTGTGTATTTTATCCATATGGTGAAAGAAAAAGTAACAGAAGTGTATCAAGATATTATGCATATTTTAGAAGAGCATTATACCATTTGCATGATAATCAAATATAACTTTGATCTTGGGAGCACACCAGCAATGAAGCTACTCAAGCTTCGAGAACATAGTTGAAGCTCCATTGAGTTGCTAAGTAATTTCTGAGTAATCCTGTAAACTCAGTTAAGTTGTATTCGTATCATCTTTCTCTGCCATATCAAATGACTGAAGTCTTATCCTTTTTCTCTTTTACGGTTCACTTTATTTTTATGTAATTAGACCTTTTATTATTCTTCTGTATTAGGCGAGGTTTTCTGCTTCTTAACGGATTTAAAGTTCTTTAAGTCTTATCACTCGAGATTTCCCTGTGTGTGTGTGTAGACACATATTGCACATTATGACTCTTTCAAAGAGATAGCTTAAACTCCTTGGCCCTATTGACATATTCTGGTATGCATTCTTGAATATGAAAAACACATCTTCTCACTGTTTCATGCTCATGATTTTCTTGCAAATACAGGGAAGTGCAAAGAGGCTTGTTAAAGCTGCTCTCCATGAAGCTGCCAAAAAGAGAGAGATGCGATATTCGGATCTTCGGAACATCGGCAAAAAGGTCCGGCGTCATTTTCATGACGATATAACTGTCATTATTTTATTCTTAAACCATGACCTCATATATAGAGGCGTTGTGCAAGATCCTCCACTTTCTATACGTAGTGCACTAGAACACTGAATGTTGAAGGAATCAAATATTTTTGAGGTTCTTGCACAACACCAAAATTTTCCTTGATATGCGGCTTCAGGAGCAGCTAGCATCAGTGAAGCAACTATGGTGTATACGAGTGCTTTTTTCCTTTGAAGAGGCTTATAATTTGAATTGCTCAAACCTTGTGTAGATGGAGTTCAAGAATAATGCTAATTTAAAAGTTTTGGATACAGTCAACCTCTATGTAACAGCCTTCTTTCATTATTAATTTATTTTGTAAACCAGTTTTTGCTTCTGTATTCAGAAGTTTTTTGTTAATTTTTTTGTAACATCGTTGCAAGAAAAAGTTGGCCACAAGAGAATAATGGCACTTTTGTACTCGAAAGACGATTTTGCTGTGTTCTTATTATTTAATTGGCTGGTCCCCTGATTACAAGAAGAAAAACAGCTTATTTCCCTTTGAAAAGAACATTTATTTGGCCAGTCGAATAATCTGCTAGAATTTAACCTCAGTATTATCTCCTCTTAGATTTTGTGTGTGTAGTTCTTTATTGCAGGAATCATATTCTTCACAGAACACAAGGAATATGGTGCCTTAGTTCCAAGAACTTGAGAAATATTGGGTTCATTTTCCCATCTTGCAAGCCCATCTGCAGATTGATATTGAATATCTCATCTTTATTCAAATCATTTTGAGCTTCACCAGCCTTCCTCAAAAAAAAAAAAAAACGGGGGGGGGGGGGAAAAGAAAGAAAAAAACCCAAACTCATCTTTGACTATGTGTGCTCCTCTTTTGTTGCTTCTAGCTCCACCATCTTATTATAGTGAACAACCTCATCTAATTTTGTGTACAGTCATATTTCTTACTTTCCATTTTTTTAGTTAGGTGGTTTCCTGCCGAAAGCACTATCTGGAGATTGACAAGTAGGGGCGGATCCAGGTGTTAGAGTCCCTGGATCTGGAGTTCAAACTAGCTTGAGGAGCATCGCTCTTGAAACAGTAAGTTGAATTCTCTTAATATACCAATTCTAATGGATTCTCTCTCTCTCACACACACACACACTCACGCGCGCACACACACACATATATAAGGTTGGAGCCAAAAGCAACCCAAATCCACTACATATAAAATATGTTCGCCCTATTGACACATCCTTGCTTTTCCGCAGGCAGTCTTTATTGTTCTCTTACTTTCCCCTTTTTATTTCCCTTTTCCAATGTGGATGGGTAACAATAACAACGGTAAGTACTGAAAACAATGGCATAAAGTTCTCTTGGCTATCTATAGCCGAGCATTTCGAAAGGTAGGGGAAAAAGAAAGTAAAAAAGAAACAACGGAATCTTCAACAGAGACACACTAGAATATGATATGAAAGAGGACAATTTCTAACAAATACATTATACAAAATCTATGGGATTGAGTGCAGATGAAAACTGAGTATGCTATTTCTATTTACAACAGACTTACAAATCCAGTGCTTTACTTTACTAGCTGTGTGAAAAATTGAATGCAAATAATGCAAATCACAAAGAGATACTTTGCTTGGATCCTCTATTCAAGATTAACCAAAACCATAAAAGCCAATGATTGTACAGCAGCCTTGACATCCTAGAAAGAACCAGTCTTCAAAGCCAAAACTCGTGATGCAACAGCAATTTGCTCCAAAGTTAAATAACAATCACGAAGACAGTAATTCACAAAAAAGAATCTGCAAGAACATGAATTCTTTGCTCAGTGAAGGAGATCCATCTTCTACAATTAACCAACAGTAGGTAATCTAATATGTATCTGATAAGTTATTATTGGAACCAAATACATATGATCTCTCTTCCAATAAAACAAAAGCAATAGGGGCAGGTTCTTATGCAGCTGATGTTAAAAGTTTATGAGCGCAGGACGTTTTTCAACTTATGACATCTTCATCAGCCAAAACTAGGATCATCAGGCTATGTAAGACTTAGCTTTAACAAGTTAAATTTGGATTTCAATAATCAAAAACTTTCAAGAGGTTAACGTACCAAGCTTAACAATCTGAAGAAGAATTTTATTACCATGCAATATGGAATGTAATGCAAAGTTACATCCAATTGCTTGGTAGACTCACAGTTTATGTGGTAAGATGGGAAACTAACATAACAATAACAATAATGTTTAGAATCCTGGCTCACTGAAATTGCATTATTGTTATTTATTTATTTTTTATTTTTTTTTCAAAAATAACAATAATGCAATTTCAGTGAGCCAGGATTCTAAACAATAAATATTCAGGGTACATGTGAAGATGATGGTAAAAGGAAAAGACCCTTTCCTCAAGGGTATTTGTTAATGACAATCGAAAGGAACCTCTCGTGGTAACTATAACTGAATATTGTTGGTTCGATAATGCTGCAGTTGATCAATTCAATATCTTCTAAGTTCTAATTGAGTATCCAAGTTAATGTTAAGCAGCATTTTTTTAGGAGCTTCTTGATCCTTCTTTTCGCTGTCTGGTTTTCTTCTCTCAAGGACTCTAATCTTCAAATTTAGTCCTATTTAGCTTCTGCTTCTTCTATTAGAAAGACCAATAATAAGACTTTCTGAACTTTCTATTTGGAGCTTCTTTATCCTGTCCTGTTCTGACTAAGCGAACATGACATTCTGACTTGTAAATTGTAACTGAAATGACCATATGGCAAATGCCCAAGTCAAACCACAACAAACACAAAGGACGTATATAAAATCTCTGTTTTAAGATGATAACATTGTTAATCAAGAAAATTCAATTTTACCCAGAGTAACATGCATCTCCAAATATTATGTTCCTCCTTTTCCTTTTCTACTGTTTGAGTTACTTTTTTTTTTCCTTGTATTGTGTAAGAGTGGACAGAACAGACAGTAAAAGCATCATCAGAAATCTCTAGGATAACATGCTCTGAGTTATCATAACTACCATTAAGTTCAGAATGACATGTAAATGATGAACAATTTACAATAACACACTACTCTTGGAAGCAGTTACTTACATAATGACTTGGAAATATCACCAAATAACAATACCAGTTGTCTCTGCTTTAGTGTATCGTAAGCTTTGCAATTTAAATATTTTCCAGTATAGAATGAAGACTTGAAACCCGACGACGGAACAGTGGCTCTAGCCTGAAAGCTGGCACCCCAGTTTGCCACCTGTTTGTATCATATATTTCACTCCATGCCTGTACAATCTCATCAACCTTGAACCCTGGAATAGAAAAGGTGCAAGATTTTAAAGAAAATCACACAAGGAAAACATAAAAGAACCAATTAACAAAATCTATATTCATATTTTACCTTCCATAGCAGTTTCGTTGGAACAGTGGTTCTTTATCATGACTGCAATATCAGTTTGAGAAGCTCCAGCTAGTTCAAACTTCTCAACTGCAACCTCTAGACATTCTTCCCAGGTTGGTAATCCTATCTTAAATTCCACGACAGAACGTTCGTAGAGAATGGTTCCCCATAACAGGTAAATCTGAGACCTCATGTTTTCAGCTTGCTCTTTAGCTTCTTCAGCTGGTTTATCTTTAAGTATGCCTTCCAAACCCCTTTTCTGCAACTGAGCTTTATATTCATCGTGTTTCGAGAGTCCATTTAGACACTGTTCTTCCATCTCTTCCCACATTTCGATCCCTCTTTCTATACTATCCTCAGCCTTGTTATAGAGCTCCAAGATCTCTGCACATGTCCCTGTCTCTAACTCTACTTTACTACCAATCAAATAGTACCAAGAGAGTTTTGCTTGTTCAAACTGCTGCTGACCGAGTGCAAGAAGGCTTTCGTAGAAATCTGGCTTGACTCTAAGAGCTTCTTCATATCTCATTTCTGCCATTTCATATTCTTTTTCTGCCCATTCATATGCAGATTTAACCTGTTCAGACACAGACTCCCCAGAACCTTCTTCTGTGAAAAATACTTCTTTTCTTGCTCTAGACATATGCACATTTCCCCAATTAAACAAAGACAAAGCTGCCATCTCTTGGAACTGAGCTGAAGCAATTTCAAAAAGCTCTTCTGCTTCTGCATTTGTAACAGTATCCTCCATAGCTTCTGAATATAACTTCATTCCTGTCTCGTGAAGATCCAGATATGAGTCACAATCCACTCCAACATGATTCTTGAATAGCGTTGCAAATTGGACAATCCAGTTCTCGGGGCATGTTGGCCCTTTATCCAGTTTCCTCCTTTCCTTCGCGACTATAGTTGATTTGCAAATACTGGGATTCACATCTTTTTCAACCCTCATTGCCTCATACACAGGTTCTTCATCAGGACTAACTTCTGTAATGTAGAGTCTTAAAGAACCCTGGGTATCAACAGATGATTCGGCCAACCTGAGCTCATTGGTGCTTGTGATCGTAACCAAGTCACCTTCTTGATCCCTATACTTGATAAGTGCACCCTTCAAGTTTGGAAATCGATCTTGAACTATGTCTCTCACAAGTTGAAACCTGCAACTAACTGGTAATTGTGCACATCTTATATCCTCCCCAAGAACCAACTTCACTGTTCTTGTCGCTGGTTTTTCTTCCTCAACGCTTCTCTTCTCCTCCACAACCACCTTGTCCTCTGTCTTCTCTTCTTCGACCCCATCAACCTTAGCTTCCTTAATCTCAACAACTTTCTTTCTGTCAAATTTACTGTTCTTTTTCTTTACAACATTGTCAGATAGTAGAGGTGGTAATACTACTTTTTTATCTTCAACATTATAAAAGTTTTCTTCTGTTGCCTTTTTAACCTTATCTGCAATCTCCAATGCAGTCAAATTATTAGGTTCAATACTCAAAACATGGTTCACATCTCTTAAAGCTAAATCAAGCCTATTCAATGATTCATAACATTTTGCTCTCTTTAACAAAGCTTTGCTATATTTTGGTGCAACTTCAAGTGCTAAGTTACATTCATTTATAGCTTTTGGTAACTCCCTAATACCCATTTGCATATAGCAAGTAGCCATGTTGCTATGCAAATAGGCAACATCAATATGATTCCTAGGAAGTAATTTGATGGCTTTCTCATACTTCAACATAGCGCCCTCGTGATCGCGTTTCTGAAAGAGCTTGTTTCCTTCTTCCTTCAGTTCTTGAGACATCTTGATAAACACAGCTGTGTCCTCATCAAATGCTTTGGATTTATGCTCTGAAGCAGCTTTACTATGTTTCACATTTCCAGCATTTGATTTTGATTTTACATGACTTTTCTTTTTCCCTGTGGGCTTCCCCATGGTTGTTTACTCCTATTAGCTAATATCTGGAGCAGCCTAAAATCAATGATTCACAACTTTTATTTAGTCCTAAAAACCAGAAAGAAAGGATGGCAATGCTAATTATTCAACCAGAGAAAATAAATAAATAAGAATGCTACGAAAAAAGAATTTTGAAAATTAAAGCAATTACAACAACTACTACACAAAAAAAAAAAAAAAAAAAAGACCTAGTGAAATGCCACAAGTGAGGTCTGGGGAGGGTAGTTTCTATGTAGATTTTGCGCCTACCTTATGAAGGTAAAGGCTGTTTTCGAAAGACCCTCAGCTCAGAAAATTAAAGCAACTATATAGAAAAAATCATATAATTGATACAAGATTAAAAATGTAATTAAAGTGATTGATGGACCCAAAAAAGGGAGAGAAGGGAAGAGAATATATATATGATGTTTGGAACAACGAGGAGAAAGTCCTAATACAGAATCCTTAAAAACATGAAGAAGAAAAAAATACTCCACTTTTTAGTTGTCTGGCCTGTTCCTCGTCTGATTCTAACACAAAAGGTGGCATCTATGGAAGAGAAAGGGAAATGTTGATAGAAAATGAAGGATTTCTTTTCTTTTCCCTTCCATATTTGCTGGCTTTCTGCGTTCACGTCATATTCGCTTTTAACAAGACGTGCCTGCATGATTTTGAACAAAGGCTGAGGACCCTCTGAATTTGATTTTATATTTGGTTTTAAATTAAACTAGTCGTCTTTTTCGATTTAATTCAGAAGAATTGATTTTAGAAATTAGGGGTCGTTTGGTAGGGTGCATAAGAGTAATGCTGAATATGGTGTATTAGTAATGCTGGTATTAGTTACGCTTGCATTAGTTATGCTGACATATGTCTTATTCATTGTTTGGTTTGATGTATTAATATTGCACAATTTCTAAAAGAATTGTTTGTTTACGAAAATGCCCTCAAAACTTGAAAAATATTGAGTGAAAATTATCACAATATAATATACTTGAAATATATTAAAGGTATATTTTGAGTTAAAATAAAATTGTACAGAAAAAAGTTTAAAACTCAAAAAAGAAAAAAATATTGAAATTCTCATTGTGCAGAGGGAATTATTTTTGAGATATTCTACTTTCAGAATCTTTGATATATTTGGGTGAGTATTATTTATGGGAGAGAATAAAGAAATTATGGAAGAGTGAGGGAAAAGGAAGTGTAGTAAAAAGTGTATTAATGTAGAGGGATCCCTTAGTTAGTGGAGTTATCAGTGTGAAAGTGCTAAAAAAGTAAAAAGATATGCTGTTTTTGAAATAAACAAAATCTGCTATCATTTAGGAGAATAGTTCTTAAAAAGGGACCAAGCATGTAAAAATCTTTATAAAGAACAAACAGTTAAAAAATAATAGTAGTAAATTCAGATTAAAAAGATGAGACCTAAATAAAAATAAAAATAAGGGGCCGAGATAAATTTGTTAATCTGAAATCAAAATTGATTTTCAAAACTATTTTTCAAATATTACAATTCCAAATGCTTACAAAGTCTTGTTATTTTTCCGATCAGCTGAACTTATCCTGTCAAACATAATAAAAAAGAATATATGATTTCGTACTAAATTTCACTTACCATATTCAATAAAAACCTGGATCAGTTGTTTTGTTTCGAGGAGAAATGGTGCCCGAAAACTAATACATTTTGTCTTTCCTCATGATGAAGCATCTATCACCTTAGAGGATATGTTAGTTTTGGGAGAAATTTAAAGATGGCCAGATTTACAACTGGTCGTTTAAAAATAGTCCAGTTTTAAAAGTAATCGAAATTTAGCCACTTTTTATGTAAAGATAAATCTGAGCGAAAACGCTGTTCAAAACCCGAAAAATACGCCAGTATATTATACTGGAGTTCCAGCATAAGTATGCTTGAACTCCAGCATATTATACTGGAGTTCCAGGATAAGTATGCTGGAACTCCAGCATAATATGATGGAGTTCCATCATAAGTACACTAGAACTCCAGCATAATATACTGGAGTTCCAGCAAGTATAATTGTCCAGTATAATATACTGGAGTTTGGAGCACCGGTGCTCCAGTCTCCAGTATATTATACTGGAGTCAGCAAAGTATACCGGTCCAGCATAATATGTTGGAGTTCATATACAGGTGCACCGAACTCCAGTATATTATGCTGGACCGGTCTCTGTTGCAGCAAAATAGTGGCTATTTTTCATTGACTTCGTAAATGTTGGCTATTTTTGAATGACCAATCCAAAAACTGGCTATACTGTGCTATTTTTACGTTAGTTTTGGGAGGTCTTTCTCTTTACTAAGAGAATATGTATTAATTTCTATTGACTTAGAAAATATATAAGAATAAATAATCAATTATTGGAGGTTCAAAGTAAATGAGTGAAATTTTGTTACCTTAGCCAAACAAGTTGCAATGGAGAAACTTCTTTACAATGTAAGTGGATGTAAGAAAGGCATCATGTTCTATTTCACTACCTTCCTCATACATTCATCTAACTACCAACCATCAGTGATCATATAAGATGGAGTTTTCATTCATTTACTTCAAGCCTCCAATAATTAATTATTTTAGGGATGGCAATTTGAACCCAAACTCATTGCCCAAACTCATTTAACCCGCTCCGAGATTAATGAGTTGGATTACAAACATTTTAGCTCATGGGTCAATTTGGGCAGAGCACAAATTAACCCATAATATTTTATAGTCCATTCTGACCCATTAAGCAGCCCAAATACAACCCATGAAACTCACCCAAAACAAAAAGGTATCTCAACCCAACTTATATAGAAATTTATTTAGTTGCTCCAGTTTTACTTTTTTTTGTATTTTTAATTTTATGTTCTTTTGTTTTTCTGCAAACCCTCCCC